CCTTGACTGTGAAGTTTAATGTAAGGTTTGGCTGAGTCTTCGTGATGGTTCATAGCCTGGCTGTAACCATCAGACCATCAGACCATCCTGCCCTCATCTCTCTCCCCTGCAGGCTCTCTCCTCACCCGTCTGGCTCTTCCAGTAAGTTCCTTTAAGCTGGCCTCACCCTCCTTTTCCCCATAGTCCCTGTAACAAGGACGTCGGATAGGAGGATGCTGGAGGGCCCTCACTCTCACCTCAGCCTCTACAGCCCCCGTGCCCAGTGCCTTCAGATGGTCCAGGGGTCCTTGCTTTCTTCTCTCTCAGGGCCAGTAACTCTCAGCAAGGGCACTGTCCCCAGGCTGAAGACAGCTTTGTCTCTTTCTCTTCGTTTGAGTGTTGATGTCTCAAAGGAATGATATCCATCCCAAAGTTCTCTGTCAGATTTCTCCCAGGAGGCCCAAAGATTCTCATGTAAATTAGTCACATTTGACCTGTCCTGCTGGGTCGAAAAGCAGACCACTTTTTCCCAATGGAAAAAGGGAGAGTTTTTAATAGGCAACTTCACTTTTCCTTGATCCCAGTCATAAACTCTTCCATACTGACAGAGCTACATAGTAACCCACAAATCTAAGCATGCGTGTGTGTGTGTATGTGTGTGTGTAAAATTGAGAGAGACTTCCTATTGTTTTTCAAAAGGTTGTAAAGACATAACAAATGGGTTTTTCTTTACAGTTGCTTACACCCAATCTCCCCAGAAAGCACCCAGGACTCTGATTCATCATGTCAAGTGGTCAATTAGAATCCGGGAAGGCCTCTCTCTGGCTTCACCTTACTTCCTGTTCCAGGAGAGATGCTCGATGGTGGGATTAGTCCGGAAGGGACAACCTCTCCCAAACCTGAGCTCACTGATTTCTTCGTTTTACAAAACAGTGCTCTTGATAAAAAATAAACAAAAAAGGCAATAATACAACTAATAACCCCAAGGTCTAAATTTAAACCAGCTGTGTCTCATAACAAAAGAAGCTGCAATGACCAACATATATCACTAAGAAAACGCCAGCTTATATGGATGAGGATTGGGATTTCTTGGCATAATGCAGGGAGCACATAAAAAATGAGTGAGGAAAAGACTGGTATTTGTGTATATATGTAAATATTACATGTATTCTTAAATGATATTTAAAAATAATAAATCAATGATTAAATAATATATACTATATATTCATGTTATATTAATATATGTATATGCTTCTCCAAATTTCTTCTTTTTGCTGAAAAGTGCTCAGCTGGAATCATGAAATCAGAGGTCAAGGTTAAAATATTAGCAATCACTTTTGAAATCAGAGCACAGAAGAGATCCCTACTGGACACTCAGGGACCCCTACCAAGCTTTTCCTTCTCTGTATATTGGGGAAGGGGGCTACAAGTCAGCCCTGGTGGTGTGGGGGTTGGCACAGCAGCGATAGGAATAATGCCAGTGTCCTGCTGAGTGGGTAAGGAGAGGGCAGAACCCGGGACTCCAAGGCCCACCTGTGGAGTGGGTCTGAGATTCCCAGGCTGTGCTCTCGGTCAAGTTGTCTATTGTTATCAAATGTGGGCTGGGCGGCGGCATCTGTGACTTCATCCCGTGGTGGCTGGAGCCTGGGATAAAAGTCACGGTTGTCCCAAAGGTACAGCCAGACTCCGCCCCGGGGAGCTGTTGTACTTGCATTGCTGGGTTGCTGATAGACTGATTGACTGGTGGCGTGTACTTTTGTCACAAGAATCATAACCGCAATGACAGCCACACAGCGTGGACCTAGAGTGTTGCTCAACTCTGGACAAGACATGGTTGTAGGCAGACATGCTTCCTGCTTGCTGGGCTTAGAGCACGGATGCTAAGGACAGACACGAAGGGCTTGGGAAAGGCATGAAGATGCATGGAGTCCAGAAGAGAGAATAAGAAAAGCAAGCATTTTGTTTTGGGTGGGATTGCTTTGTCGTTTTAAGAGACATTTCGTGATCCACGGTTGCGCTCCGGTGAAGAGCGAGTCTAGAGGAGGAATCGGAAGGTGGGTGAGAGTTGAGGGGATTTGAATTCCGTAATTACGACTCGAATTTCTGCCATCAGCTCGCGGCTGTGTTGCCTGCCCTTGCCACAAAAAAGCCATGCAGCGCCAAGCCAAGTCGGATGGAAGTGGGTTAGGGTATTATATAAGCCCTTGCGGGAGGGAAGATGGTCTTTTATGTGTGTTTCTTTTGCAGCGGCGGCGGCGAGCTCGACTCAGGTTGATTTAGAATACGGGTGACAGTGGCCTGGCGCGAGCCCATTGCTGACGAAAGCGGCTTATCCCGCGCGGTTTCCATGGAGACGAGCTGGAGCCGCGGCGGCGGCGGGGCTGTCAGCGAGCGCGGCGGAGCTGGCGCGTCCGTGGGGGTCTGCAGGAGGAAGGCGGAGGCCGGGGCCGGGACCCTCGCGGCAGACATGGACTTGCATTGTGACTGTGCAGCCGAAACGCCGGCAGCCGAGCCGCCGTCGGGGAAGATTAATAAAGCTGCCTTCAAATTATTCAAGAAGAGGAAATCGGGTGGCACCATGCCCAGCATTTTTGGGGTCAAAAACAAAGGGGACGGGAAAGGCTCGGGTCCGACCGGGCTGGTGAGGAGCAGGACCCACGACGGGCTCGCCGAGGTGCTGGTGCTGGAGAGCGGCAGGAAGGAGGAGCCGCGCGGCGGGGGCGACAGCGGCGGGGGCGGCGGGGGGCGGCCGAACCCGGGGCCCCCAAGAGCCGCGGGCCCCGGCGGGGGATCCCTCGCCAGCAGCTCGGTGGCCAAGTCGCACAGCTTCTTCTCGCTGCTGAAGAAGAATGGGCGCTCGGAAAACGGCAAGGGAGAGCCCGCGGACGCTAGCAAGGCCGGCGGCAAACAAAAGCGGGGGCTGCGGGGGCTGTTCAGCGGCATGCGCTGGCACAGGAAGGACAAGCGGGCCAAGGCGGAGGCCGCGGAGGGGCGCGCGCCCGGGGGCGGCCTGATCCTGCCCGGCTCGCTCACCGCCAGCCTGGAGTGCGTCAAGGAGGAGACGCCCAGAGCCGCGCGCGAGCCGGAGGAGCCCAGCCAGGACACCCCGCGAGACCCAGCAGGTGAGCCCGCAGGGGGAGAGGAGGTGCCCGCCCCCGCCGACCGCGCCCCAGCGCGGAGCTGCGGAGAGGCCGAGGGCCCCTCGCGCCCCAGCGACACCGGCGCCCGGGGAGAGGACGCCGCGGGGCATCGGCGCGCCGAGAAGCCCCGGGCACCCCCCGAGCCGGGGCCCGGGGAGGTCCGCACGGCCGAGGACGCTTCCAGGACGGGGGCCGTTCCCGTAAAGACGGTCCCCCTTGTCGACTCCGAAGGCGGCAGCGGCCGGGCGTCCGCCGCCCCAGACCCTGCCTCGGTCGATCCACCCTCAGACCCGTCGGCAGATCGTATTTGTTTGATGTTTTCTGACGTGACTTCACTGAAAAGCTTTGACTCTCTTACAGGCTGTGGAGATATTATTGCAGACCAAGAGGAAGAGGCAGGTCCCAGCTGTGACAAGCATGTCCCCGGGCCAGGCAAGCCGGCTCTCTCTAAAAAGAACCCCGGCGTGGTGGCCTACCAAGGAGGCGGGGAGGAGATGGCCAGCCCGGACGAGGTGGACGACACCTATCTGCAGGAGTTCTGGGACATGCTGTCACAGACCGAGGAGCAGGGACCCGGGCCCCAGGAGGGCGCGGCCAACGCGGCAGCTGCACTGGAAACCAAGGTGGTGCCTGAGACCCCCAAAGACACCAGGTGTGTGGAAACGGCCAAGGACGCGTCCTCGGTCAAGCGCAGGAGGCTCAACCGTATTCCCATTGAGCCCCATCCGAAGGAGAAGCCCAAGCACCCGGAGAAGGAACAGCAGGAGGGCGTCCCCAACAGCGACGAGGGCTACTGGGACTCCACCACGCCAGGCCCAGAGGAAGACAGCTCGAGCAGCGGGAAGAAGGCGGCCATCCCCCGGGATAGCTACAGCGGGGACGCGCTCTACGATCTCTATGCTGACCCCGACGGAAGCCCAGCAACCCTTCCTGGAGGGAAGGACAGCGAGGAGACGTCCTGCTTGTCCCGGTTAAAGCCCGTGTCTCCAGGCACCATCACCTGTCCACTGCGAACACCAGGCAGCTTGCTAAAGGACTCTAAGATCCCTATTAGCATCAAGCACCTGGCCAACCTTCCATCTAGCCATCCCGTGGTGCACCAGCAACCCTCCAGGAGTGAGATGCCCAGAACAAAAATCCCGGTTTCTAAAGTGCTGGTCCGCAGAGTCAGCAACCGGGGCTTGGCTGGGACCACCATCAGGGCAGCGGCCTGCCACGACAGTGCCAAAAAGTTGTGAGGTCTTCCAGGCCACGGTGGACGGGCCACATGTCAAGGAATACAATTTTGCCCTGGAAACCACTCAAGTAAGTTTTGCTTTTCCTAAAGAAAGTCTTTTAGAAACCCCCTGCTCCAGAGTGTGGACCGAGGAGGTCTTTGTACCCTGAGCAGGGTCCGGATAACACCAGAAAGAGGGATGCTACACTTGGGATTCTCCTCTCAAGATAACTCCGTGAGAATTATTTTCAAGCACTTTTTTCTTTTTTACCTTTAGGTTTTTCTTCTTTTTTCTTTAATGCACTGAACACTTGGAAGTCACCTTTACTTGCCTTTGCAGAAAACAGGACTTAGCCAAACCTAAGTAAGAGTCATGCCTGGATGTTGGCATGAGCCAGTGTCCAGAAGCCTGGAGGAACCACTGAAGAACCAGAGGAGATCTCCTCTTCCAAGACATGTTTCCTTCTTTCCCTTCTTTTCTCTTTCCTTTCCAGGAAAAAAAAAAGACCCTTTGCTATATCACTGTGTGGAAAACACCTCCAAAGCTGAAACAGCCAGGTATTTACCTGATGAGCAGAGGGCACCACTGATTGGCAGAAAACTTCCTTACCTTCAGTTGCTAGGTATGCAAATTGATAAGTATGGCAGAAAACTTCCTTACCTTCAGTTGCTAGGTATGCAAATTGATAAGTATCTAACACTAGGAAAATAAAGGCGAGTTTTGGTTTGATTCGTTTGGATCATTTGTTTGGGGAGATATAAAAGGCTCAGGAGAGCAGGCTTTTGCTTTTTTTTTTTTTCTTTCCCCCCATCTAGTGCAGAAATCAGGATCAGGGAAAGATTTTATTAAATGCCAATAGATACAGTATTTTAGCATTTATAAGCTGAAACCTTCTCATGTGAAGATAATGCATATTTTACAGTTTATCGAGCTGTTAACATTTTGTAATCGGTCAATAATAATCTAGAATATGAAATCTGGTCTTAGAGCTAGACATGATGACGGTCCCCAAACCATTGATGTAATGGGAAGCGACTCTGGTTTTATTTTGTACGTGTTCTCTGGTTCTCAAAAACAAAAACAAATCTATTGTGCTGGTGTCCCAGAGGAATGGCTCTGCCTTGTCTTGGGTAAGAGTCTGTTTCTCACTCCAAACCCTGGTTTTCAGATATTTTTTTAACCTTGATTATAAAATTTTGGATTCAACCATTCCTCAATATGGTGAATGCAAAATGAGGAACCCATAAAGAAAAACAATAGAAAGATATAGCTTTTCATATCATTTGTCTTTTGCTTTATAGACATGATGAAGACGAGTGTGTTCAGAATATGACATTGGCAAGCTTATGTATTGTAAACACCTTATGCCAAGATTTCTTTTGAAAAATGGTTTGCTTCTATGTATGTTTTCTAATATTTCAGATGAAACGTTTATTTTAGAAAGGGTTATTATATGCCTAGATAGTTTGAATGATAAACTGAGGCAGTTCCTAGAATGCTATTAGTGTCTAATGATGAAATTAATATCCTTTTTGAAATACACTTCAGTGTATTTAATCAAAAGACTAGAGCTTCTACTAGGAGGTGATTCATCATACCAGGAAGATTATGAATATTCAAGTAAAACTACACATATGTAAATGACATGAACACTTCTGTATAAGTCTTATTTCCAGAGAGATTGCATTAGTAATGAACTCTTGTTACATGCTTTTAAAGCTTCTTTTCTGTTCTATAAATGAAAGAATAAGGCAAGTTAAATATATGAAAACCTATTTTAATAATATAAAGAAAGTAACAAAATAAATGGGCATCAAAGGAAAGCAAATGTGAGCCAGTAGCAGAAAGTAGGCCATTCCCCATTTTAAATTTGCAGTGATTCAATTAGGAGAGATTTGCTGAATTTCTTCATTAGTCATATGACTGGCTTTTATTGCATTGTCTCAGATCCATAATGTTACTTCAAAGTAATCTTTTAATATTTAATTTCTTTATGTGTGTAGATGAGGTCCTGTATGCAGACATAGCCTTAAGCATTCTGAACACACTACCAAGAATTCATATAAGCATCTCACACTCACGTGCTCATGCACTCAACTGTGTGCAGACTAACAAAGACGTCTACTCTAGATTTGGAAATTATTTTTGAAATTATTTCTGTCTTAAACATGGGATTTAAATTTGATTTCATGATGCTAGTACTATTTAGAGTCAAAATACATCCATCTTCCCCTAGTGAATAGAGAAAATATAAATTTTACTCCTTGCTGTAAAACAAAGGATCTTGATTTCCTTGTTGTACATTTTCCTGCAAGGGTTATATTCCCCTTTGCATGAATCCATGGCAAAGTTATGTTGGTTCATTTGTTCAATTGTACAGGAAAGCTAAGAATACCTGAAAAACTTATGAGAATATTGTAATAGTAAAGGCAATATGTTTCTTAAGGACTAGAAGAAAAGTTATTTTAGGACTTATTTCTCCATTTACACCATTATGCTGTGTCTCCTCTTTATAAGTAAAGGAGCACGTGAGCAAAGTTTATCTTAATTTCCACTGGCCTGTCAATTAACCAGTTATAAAAGATATAAAATATTTTCTTTTGAAATTTATATTTTCCACTTTTTATTACCCTATATTTTAAAGAATTGCACCCACACCAATCAAAGGGAGGATTTGGGCAATGAATTAAACAGCCTTAATCACTTGATTGGAAATCCCTGAAGTGGCAGGAAGAGTGAATTCTCAACTTTTTCCAATCATAAAAAAGGGATCATGGTTGCTTTCTTGTGCCAAGGGCTACTTTCTCTTATTCATATTCATGAAGATTGTTGTTTTTTCAAGAATTTTCCTAGATTCACATGCCAATTTTTATTAATACATTATCTAATGACCTTGTGAAGATTATTCAGGCCCATATTTGCAGATTTTTTAAGGGAGGGATTGGATAGAGGCTAATTGTATCTTTCCCATGTATGTATATTCTAAGATATTTAGTTGATTGACTTCCTTTGGTTGAAAAGCTGCCCAAATCAGACAGGAAAAAGCCAAATCAATTGTTGGACGAGAATTTATCAGTTGGTTTAATAGCTCTGCACAAAGACAGCCCGACTTTAATGTCTATGGTACGCATACAATGTTAGCTGAAACACTCTGCTTTAGTACAGATGGTGGTTGATGCTTTTATCCTGCCATTAGCACCGATTGGGATAAATTTTACTTCATCATTTTAGATAATCACAAGGGGGAGTAGATTTTTATTATTTCACCTAATAACAACAATAGAATATAAGATACGAAGGACTTCCTTTAGGTACATTTTCCACAAATTATCTGCTTATTTAAATACAAAATATTTAATATCTATGAAAGTGATAACTTACTGAGTTAAAGAATTTCTTCATCTCAGAGGTAATCTCCAAGTATTTGCAGTTCAACAGTATGCAAATAGCCCTTTGCTTACACAATTATCCAGGTAAAAAGACTATGTCAGGTGTTGAGATTTCTTTGAATTTTCTAAGAGTTTTATTATTTATGCCTTTGTCAGATTAATTGTAAAGGGGTCTCTTGACTTTAGCTTGGTATGAAGAAATTGACTCATGCAGCTCGTGTCTCCTACGTGTCCTCAGACAACAGTGATGGGACACTTCACATGACGCTAGCATGTTTGCTCCGTCCGCATGGGGGAATGCATTCCCTGCTGTTAATCATTCTAAATTTCTCTCTTGAATTACAAATATATGGATTTGGCTCCCCCGATGCTTGGCTTCTCCTGAAACCTGTTCCAGTACATTCACATATGCTTTGCTCCCACTCATTGTTAAGAAATAAATTCAAGAAGTTTTTTGCAGCTAAACATAAGGCAAAAGCATCACAATTGCCTCACCTCATCACTGAGGAAAGCTAGTTTAAAGTATCTGAGTGAAATAACAGGAGAAACCCAAATACTTCACCTAACCCAGTTTCCCATGCCCCTCCTCCAGGTGGAGCAAGGAATGAACGGAACAGTTCTTATTTGTGTAAACTCAGCCTTAGAAAATTTCAATTCATTACACACAAAAAATAGTTATGAAATGGTTTGGGACCAAAGGGATGGATAGTAGGGTAGACGAGTGTCTTATGGAGCCTGTGTGGGAAAGCAAAAGGCAAGTGTGGACTTCACAGGCAGAAGCGAGCTGTAACATTGTCAGTGTAGTGAGCGTGGTTCCTCACAGGCGGCCATGGATTGTGAGACCTCATCTTGCTCTGAAGATTTCCTGGTGGCTGTCATGCATTGCCTCTGAAAAGCCTCGCACTGTGGTAATGCTTTAAAGGAGACAGTTTGCTGCAACAGTAGCCACTTCTAAGAATATTATTATCTCACTGCAGAGGACGTTTTTAAGAGGTGATTCAGAAGGATAGTTTCATGATTATGGAAAGGAGTTCCTTCTCAAACTGCAAAAGGAAAGATGAAAATAGTCACCAAGCCTCCAGAACTGAAATTGGGCACCTTTTATGATGGATATTTACTTTAATTCAATGCAACACATATTTATGGGGCATACACTGTTTCTAATACTTATAAAACCCATTCAGTTTGGAGCTCGCACCTGAGTTGTGCTGTAATTGGATTTTCTTAATATTCATTAAAAACAAAAAACAATTTTATTTTACCTTTTATTTTGTATTTGCATTTGTTGCTTATAGTTTGTGGGGTGGAGCAGAGTGGTGTGAGGTTGAAGAAAGGCACTATGAATTAAGCCACCCAAATGCCTCTTAAAAAATAGTGAATATAACAATGGTTAAATTCATTGGATTCTTACTATGTGTCAGGCACTGCAAGGAGATTAGAAATAATTACTTAGTCCTCTTAACAGCCATATGGGGTAGGTAATATTATCTCCCTAGCATGACAGCTTTAATTCACTCTTTTTGTTTCTATCCCTTTCCATCTCTGTCTCTCTCTCTTTTCCCCTAGTCTCTAGGACAGGGATATAAACTCTTTAGTGATTTTCAGTAACTGAAGAGCTGAGAACTACTTAATGTCATTATTAGCTCACTTCTGATAGAAAAATCCACCCCAGGTCCATGCAGCTGAAAATTAGTTTGTGTCTGAGATGATGGTGCTCGCAATCATATGCAGGGAACCCTGCCGCTGTGCTATGCTGAGCAGGCAAACATTGGCCTTCCCTTGGAGGGATCCTCTTCTCTTAGGATAAACGTGGGAAGTACAGACAGAAATGTCTTCTGTTGTCATGGCGATACTGCCTCCTGATGGGTTATCATTCATTCCAAGCATGTTTGTTTCATTTGTATTTTTTCCCACCTTAAGCCCAGTCTCAGTGGGTTCTGGGTGGTCTAGGCATATCTGTGTGTGTTTTAACTGTAGTAAGGATATTGAATATGAGATGTACCCTCTATAATTTTTTTTTTTTTTTTTTTGAGATGGAGTCTCGCTCTGTCACCCAGGCTGTGGTGCAGTGGTGTGATCACTGCGGCAACCTCTGCCTCCCGGGTTCAAACATCTCTCCCTGCCTCAGCCTCCCAATTAGCAGAGATTACAGGCATGCACCACCACGCCCATTAATTTTTGTATTTTTAGTAGAGACAGGGTTTCACCATGTTGGCCAGGCTGGTCTCAAACTCCTGACCTCAAGTGATCCGCCCGCCTCAGGCTCCCAAAGTGTTGAGATTACAGGCCTAAGCCACCATCCCCAGCCTACCTTCTTTAAGTTTTAAGTCCACAATAC